CCGCTAACGCTGTAGCACCTGTTTGGCATGCGAACGCTATCTATACCTTCTCAGGCTTGTTGTACGCTATGTGTAGACTCTTGCTTGTGTGTTCTTTTATCTGTACTGCTCAGATGGGCCTCCCCCGCCGTACGAAGCCTCTCCCCATGTGCCGGAGGTAAGGTTATATTTTTCTCTTCAACTGTAAGGAGGTTTCCCTCAAACGGGGCGGGCAACATTCGATATGCGTTTTGTATGTGGACTTGCGGATCTGTTGTGTGCGCCCAGCCAGGATTTCCAATGCAAGTTGAAGCCTTAAAGGGGGCAAACATTCCTTTATCAGTAGGCTGACCGGACGGAAATGCGTGCAGCACAGTTGCTCTTGCTGTAAGAAGAGGATTGCTAAGATATCTGCTTGATTTCAGCATAGAGTGCGTTTGCATTGATCCGTTTCAGCGGGGACTTACTAATGCTTGTGGTGCCTTTTCCATGGAGAACGTCATCTGCATAGCAGAGGGCCGCCGGCCTAATTATGGGATGGCAGATGCACAGCGAGTTAAACTTCGCATGGTGAGTCGTGCCAACTTCACGATGGCTTTAACTGTTGCCAGAAGGAGCTTGTGGAAGCATCAAGAACTTATCCTTGTTGCCAGCAGCAGCAGCAAAATTACTCCACGCACAAGTTTGTCCGTAGCATTTACTCAGTGGATCAGCGAGTTGTGATTTATTTTTGCTGCATCCCGTACTTAAGCGCTTGCTATGGACGTATATCTTGAATATTTGACTTCGCCTTCGTGTATCGCCTGTTTGGCAGTTAATGGAGGTACTGGGTGGCCTGTGGGATCGCCCTTTGGTCAATGGAGAACTACGCGAAGCTTATGGTGGATTGGAGGAATAAAGCAGCAGCGGAAATTGCTAGAGATCCTACAGAATGTTGGCATCGAGCGCATTGCTGCAAGTTGCATCTAAGGATGCGCTGTGCAGGCTACAAAATATTCCTGCTAATTTCCCTTCTGCTGCAGAGAACGCCCAGCCTAGCATGGGAGCATTTTCAAGGTAGCTTTAGCCTACAGAGGCACCGGTGGCACTGGGAGCTAATCCGGTGTATGCAAAGAAGCAGAAGTCTACGTACAGTGAAGTTTATTTTTGTTTGTGCCAACGAACTAAATTGGCTTTTCTTTGTGATGAGCTTCTCACCGAGGCCGACGTGCTTGAGTTTGGCTTTTGAACAGATTGTGGAAGTACGCTCTCTACCAGGGCCAGCAGGCCTTCTGCTGGCCTTAGTTGCAACGGAAATTCAGCTATCCAATTTAGTTTTAGGCATTGAAAGGTGTGGTTCAAATGGGTAGTAGGTGAGCCATAGAGTAAAGAACCCTCGAATATATGAGCAAATTAGTGAGTACTGCTTTTTTTGCTAGCTTCAACATATATAGGTCATTGCCTGCACATCCTTCGCGCTTCAATGAATAAGTGGTGCTATTCATACTCTCGAATAGATGAGCAAATTAGTGAATACTGCTTCTTTTGCTAGCTTCAGCATATATAGGTCATTGCCTGCACATCCTTCGCGCTTCAATGAATAAGTGGTGCTATTCATACACGCTACTGCGTAGGCATCCAAGAGAAATTCTGTCAAGTGTCCAACTCAGCACCAGGCATCCCATCCCGTTCTTCGCCCCTCAGGTATTCCTGCAGTCTCCAGATGGGTCGGTCAACTGTAAACAGTCAAAATATACGCCTGCATTCTGGTGTTCTTTTTGCGGTTTGGGGGGTATTGACGGCAAGCATCTTTGCCCCTTTGAGCGTGCCCGAACACCTGCGACATGAGCTTTTCTAGTTTGTCCAATTTCACAGTACACATGCGGTAAGCGCTGCCAGGTGACTCCCTCAGCAGAAGGAATCGCTAACGCCGCACATGCATAGTAGAACAAAACAACGGGGCAGCCATTCACAGGTGTTAGCTTACGGACAGGGGCTTGGATGGCTCTAATGAGTAGTGGTGCTACCGAATAGTAGGTGCATGCAGGACTTTAGCGCAGCATTTGCTCAAAAGGAAGAGGATTTAGGTCGTCCTTGTTATCTGAGAATCCTTCATAGGGCGCAAAGAACACTTAGAAAGTAATGAGAGAGGTCTGAACCCCTCCCGTAGAGGGAGGCGCACTCGCCGTCTACTCAAGAAAGCGGTCCAGGAAAACCCATAGAGCGGTCAAAAAGAAGAGATGGGCACTGAATGCCTAAAGTCTTTATTTGCGGTGGTAGCTGTGCGCACCCGTATGCAAATCCACCTTGTGCCGATCGGAGTGGATCGCTTTTCATACTTTGTGCACTGCTTGCCACGTGCGCGTAACCGAGTTTGTTGCTCATGGGCTTGACTATCTGTCGCTTGACTTCCTTTCATACCCCCAGCGGTTCTTCTACCTCTACACACCGCTCGTTTCAGTACCTCATCTTCTTCGCACCAGTGCTTGCGCAGGATCTTGTTGCTTCAAGCAATCTGCAGCTCTCTGTTGCACGATTGGAATGCACCCTTCCCTCAGGCGTGCTGCATACAGTCCCCGGACAATGCCGAAAGAGGCTAACTTTGCTAACTGCCGCTGCAACATAGGTGACGCGCAGGTGGCTGTAGCCGCGCAGAATCTCACTAGACTGTGCAATTTCTTGTGAAATTGCCAGTATGTTGCTTGTGGAAGTGATGATATTGTTGTGGCCACTGAGCTGCTCCTGGCGAAAAATGGGGCTAAAAAGGAGCGACTACATGCAATGCAATGCTGGCTTCTGAAAACTGCTGTCTCGACTCCTCGGTTTGGCTCCAGAGCAGCATTATGTTGTAGAGGGCCGCACTACACATCGGCTATGCTGCTCAGGAACGAATTCCTTGGGGCGGCGAACGTCCATCAAAAACTCACAAAAATCAAGCTGTTGCTCCTCATGCTCCCCCTGAAGCAACCGGTTGGTTTCGCAGGCAGGCTGCTGCTGGAACGGAGGCTGCTGTGCCATCTTTTAGAACAGCAGTCCTGCTGCTATTGGAGAACTGTTGTTGCACCAATTGGACTATTGCTGCTGGTGAACGTGTAGTCCTCAAGTGGCACCGAATGGCGCGCAAATGCGAAGTCTGGCGCATGCTCAGTGACATGCATCTCGGGTTGTGTGAAAATGGACCATGAAAACTCCAAATGGCCAAAATGAGATCGTGCGACCCCTGCTAGCCAAAACGCTAGCCAATGACTGTGCAGGCAGCCTTGCAAGAAGGCAGGTAGGCGGCAGAAATTTGGTTGGGAATGGTCAATCCCAGTCCGGTAATGCATCGGATGTCAGGTATTCCCTGATGGTACTGCACCAGTTGATGCTGCATCATCTGCTGATTGTTTTCCCCTGCGAAATCCCTGGCGAATACACTAGACACATAGCAGCGAATGTGTGAGGATCGTCCTCACAGCTCGAGAGCCGCCGTGCCTCTCTGAACTGTACCTCGTCGTCTGACACCTCCCACTCAACTCCATACTTGAAATACATGATCCCAATCGTCCCCATGGGCCTCCTTTTGAGACCCTACAGCAGTACCGCTATGGCCATTGCTGCTGCTTAGGTTGCCGGTACTGTGCTGCCGAAGGAAGGGAAATAACTGCCTCTGCTCTTGGCTATTGCAGAGACTATCTGGATCACCGTTGCGCAACAGCACATATTGTTTGCCCACTTGCCACTGCAGCCTTGTGTACAGTTGGTACGCATCCTGTGGCTCGCCTGATCAAGTCCCTTTACGCTGCACTTGCTCTTGCTTCTGTGTGAGGATCGTTGCAAAGACGCCGTTGGTTTGCGGCCGCTGAAATGACTCGCGTGCAGCTGCTGCTGTCGCTGCTGTCGCCGCTATTGCGGGGGACCCTCAATTCGGAATGGCCAGCCACTGCATTCTCTGCAGTTGCATGACGCCCTGCTGCTGCTGCTGCTCTTCTGTGACTAGGTCCTCATGTGATACAGCTGGGAAGAAGAGCGGAGGTTGGTTCTGCTGCTGCTGCTGTTGCTGATGTTGCTGCTGTCGCGGCAGCATGACCTGGTGTTGCTGATCAGAGCCAGGTATCAGGAGCGTGCGTTGTTGTTGTTCCCAACTTTGCGATTGTTGGAGGCCTACGCCCAGACAGGTTGCACCTGCCAAGCGCAATCTGGCACCTTGCTGTTGTCCCACAATCTTCTGTGCATTCTGCTGATGCCTGTCATGCTGAACCTGGAGCTGCTGACGCTGAAGATGCTGGTGCAGCGCGATAACATTTTGTTGATGCGGCTGCCGCTGCTGCTGGGATGCATTCGTGACGACACCAGGTCCCCAGAAAGAGTGTTCATCTCCCTGCAAAGGAGAGCAAAAAAAGGGAATATAGGGAGTGGTTGAATTCTATGGTGCGTTTCCCGTCCACGTACCAAATTCAACAGTATCACACTAACACCGGCAAGCAGTCAAGTGAATATTCATGATACAAAAAACCCGAAATGCACAGGGAAAGTTGGTGCGCAAGGGACGACCTGATGATGCACCGCCGCCTCGGTGAATCCACTAGGCGTCCAAAGCTGGTGGAGCTGCTGCTGCTGTAGCGGAAGCCGTTCTTTGATCTCAGGCAACGAGGCAACTGTAGTTAAGGAGCATTCAGCTTCGCTGTACACGAGCTCCTGCGCCTGCTGCTGTGGTTGCTGTTCTTGTGGCTGCACTTCTTGCGCCTGGTGCCGTTGCTGCTGTAATTCGCCGCATACAATACCTGCAGGAGGCGCTGTGCTCTCTGTACAGGGGTTCTGTTGCTGCTGCTGAGTCTGTCGCCAGTTTCCCGCTGCTGGAAATTTGGCACAAGGTCCTCTCCCTGCAGCAGCGGAAGCTAACTCTAGTGGCCCTGCGCGTTGCTGCTGCTGTTGCAGTTCCTCCTGGCGCATCTGCTCCACTTCGTGCAGCTGTTGCAGTTGTTGGAGTTGATGTAGGTGCTGTACGTGCTGCTGCTGCTGCTGTTGTGGCTGCAGTTGGTGCATCGGGCGCATGTCCATCCACACCCCCTGAGCCAGGCGAAGGAAGTCGTTCCCAGGTCCTCGTGCCTCGTGCTGCTGTTGCTGGTGTAGATGAAACATTTGTTCCTCCGCTGCTGAAGTGCTGGAGAGAATCCGTAGCTGTTCCTGCTGGTGCATCTGGAGTCTCTCCTTTGGCAGGTGCCTTTGCTGGTTGGACGAAGTCCGCCGGCCCCCAAGAGGAACAGCAGCGATTGCGGATGCTCCTCCAGTGTGAGATACTGATGCGGCATTTGTTGCTACTGAGCGTGTAGCCAGCAAGCGCTCGTCGGCTTGTCCCTGGCAGACAGATGTTGAAGTCAGCTGACCGCACAGGGCCTGCTGTTGCTGCGCCTGTTGCTGCTGTGTCATGCGAGTCAACTGTCCCCTTCGCTGTTGTTGCCGGCTTGAGCGCGATGTTTTTGGAGTCTGTTGCTGCTGCTGCTTATTGTGCTGCTGTTTCTGTTGCTGCTCAGCCACAGAGCCACAGAGCTTGAATTGCTGCTGGTCGTGACCCTGCCGCCCTTCCCCGGGGTCAATGCTCAACAGGTTTAGCTGATGCAGCACTTGTTCCTGCTGGGCTTTTACGCTAGGCTTCGTTACCTCTGTTGACTTGTTTGCCCCTCCTTCCAACTCCAACTCCACTGGTGCAGAGGTAGCCACTGCTTCCCCATCCGCAGCAATTACAGTTGGGTGTATCACCGCTGGGTGCGTGAGGGGCTTTCCGTTAACCCACAGAGGGACTCCCAGCCGGCCAAGAGACTCCAGCAAGGCTGCTTTCTTCGCAAGGGATCTGTTTTCGATGTGCGCAATGACGCAAGTCTCTGTGAGCTTCTTTTGCTGGTCTCTGGCTGCTGGGATCCCGCTGCGTAAGTGAGCCTCCCAAACTCCCGGCAAGAGCTGCGGTGCAATACAATGACGACAGAGAGCTCCGGAAGGCGTCTTCAGAATAGGGCGAGTCCCAATACTGTAGTGACGGAAACGAGGGTCTATCTGCGCCATACACAAGTTCCACATTCGAAACCTTTTCATATTGAATATGCATGCTTGGCGAGCTGGAGGTTGGCAAAGCTTTATAGGTATTAAGTCTCTTTTTGCGTCGGCATGCTTCTTGCCATAAACAGATAT